TGTTCCTCCCAACACTGGCTAGTGCCACATCCATGTGCTATCGTCCGTCGAACAAAACGAGCAAGAAAAAGAAAACTAGATCCTTAACTCCACGTTCAACCCCAGCATATATGCAAAGACTTCAGTCTCACTTTAATAATTCCTTTGTTTGTCAAATGAGATCCTCATGCCACCTTACACCCATAAATTCGATAGTATATTAAAGGTCGTGGTTTATGTGAGAATATGAGGACAAAATCTCATCTCAATGAGAATCAAACCGTACAAGGATTTATAAGAGGTTTGTCTTTACATTCTCATAGTCTAGTTATATTTAATCTCTACTTTGTTGAAGAATGTCATGAATTCAAATTTTCTTTTTTAATTTTTACTATTATTAGGAGAGGAAAACGAGCTCGAAATTCTTACAATAATTTCAGAAATAAATAGTTTTTAAACCAGAACATATAACTCATATGCCCTATTCGCTGGAATATTGAACCACATACATGATCAAGAATTCAAATCCCATACACAATAATGATTAAAAAAAAGTTAAGAGATTGATTGCGAAACTTCCTTAAATTTCTTGCGGTATGCCATTGCGTATAACTATAAGATAATAATTATATGTAGGAACAAAATTGTGTGGACTAGCTTATTACATGTGGTAAGCAGCTTAATCAGGTTGGTGGGGCCATATAAAAATATGAGGTATGGATAGACATGCCAGCTATAGATGTTTACGTCTTCCCCTTAATTTCTGAGTGCGGTCTTTTTGAAAACTTTTTCAACCTCCAACAAATTTGTTTCCACATGATTATTAACTTCATACAGATGAGGGTGTGAAGAGAAAATCGCCCATTTTGTTTCAACTTAAGCTATCTAGAGTACAATTTTTTATTTGATTCATCTCATTCACATGTATAATATGGTAAAAGAATGACACACAGTATTTGCTTAATCAAATACGGGATGTTAAGAATTTGTTTCAACATATTTTCTTTGCCAAGAGTAAAAAAATGAATAGAGAGATCAGTAGTGATGAGGGTAGACATAAGATGATAGATAAGAGTATGCTAGTTTTAGAGTTCCAAACTTTTTCAATATAATAAAAGAATATTTAGTAAGTAATAGTTTTAGGATATGATTAAAGTAAAATCATTCATACATGTATGATTGTAATAAGTAGATGCCTTTTTAACCAAAATGGTACATGAGATTTGCATAACTTCTCACTTTGGTCCTTGAGATTTGAAATCAATAGAAGTGGTCCTTGAGATTGTCCACCATCAATCATTTTAGTCCTTGGGTGAAAAATTATGTTAAAAAAGGATCAAAATAACAAAATTACCCTCAATTTAATAAACAATAGGTCAAACTCATTTGACCAAATTGAGGTTATTGTTGTTATTTTATTCTTATTTTATAGAGATTTTTTGTGAAATGATCAAAATGATTGATTGTGGACAAACTCAAGGACTAATTCTATCTTTTTTAAATCTTAGGGACCAAAATAATGAGTTATGCAAATCTCAATAACCATTTTAGCTAAAAAGCCTAAGTAGATAGGGTAGTGTATTTCATGATCATCCAATATTGATTTACCCCGCTTCCAATGCAAAAACTATATATGAATGTGGTCATCTTATTTACCACGCTTCCAATGCAAAAAACCATATATGAATGTGGTCATCTTATAGCAAGTTATTAACTTGAAGCTCCTTGAGAACTTGAAAAAAAGAAAAAAGAAAAATATAACAAATACAAAACCTAACTAGTGGGAATTAGCATTTCGCATGGCCGTTGCTTTCCAGTTTCCACTATAGAAGAAGATGTGGAAATGCACTTCCCTTTTGACTAATTAGCCATATCCAAGATTATTAATAAGAAAACCACCACCTTTTTTCTCCATTTACTGATAATATTACATATATCTAAACTTCTGAGTCGTCCATTACTTAGTAACAGTAACTAAAACACATCTCCGATACGCCACAACTGTAGGATAAAAACAATGTGATCCATGTGTTCTGCCAAACCTCCACAAGCTCCACTATATTAGTTGATTAAATTATAAACTAATGCTGTAAATAATAGACTAACATAGTGTAAAATTAGTAATTTATTAGGGCAACCACGGTGGTGGAAGGACTCTAGGGTTTAACCATACGCCAAGGGATTGAGCTATAGAGAAATTATGGTAGCTTATTCTATATTTAGGTGTTTCTCCAATATCAAAACGTTAGTAGTTTTCATGCTTTCATATTTATCCCTCACAATCATGTGTAACCTTGAACTGCTCAAACCTTGAGTGCAATTGTTAACTAAAAATCATAAACACCTTTGGTTCAGCTAACTTAATTTCATTTTTTTGTATCGAAGTCGGTTGTCTGAATGAATGTAAATGAACTTCACCTAATCTTTTAAGACAACCAATTTGGATTAAAAAAAAATAATAATAACAGGTACTTGACATGTCAACCCATTGCTGCACCTCAGTGCACATGTATATAATATTGCTGATGTTGGTAAATTTTCGGGCTATCAAAAGATTGATATTATATACCCATTGAGCATAGGTTTTTTCTTTAATGCTATCCCTGGTTGAGAGAAAGCGAGATCTGCTAGATTTGGTCAAATTTCTATCAACTTTCACAAGAAACTTCATAAAATTTACAAATATAAAAAACCCAGTGGAACTCATCATTTCTTATGGGAGGTAGATTGTCTGCCGTCCTGTTTGGATGTCCTTCCCATCCTCTCCTATTTGTGCGGTTACGGTTAAGCTACATCAACATTTTATATTCCTATTGTTTTTTGTCTTATTATCTCTATAAAAAAAATCAATATATAATGTTGACGTGACTTAATCGTGACCCGTACAAAATAGGAGGGAATGAGAAGGGCAGATAATCTGCCTCCTTTCCTATGTTCCCCTCTGGAGTTGATGACGTAGAAAAAGGAAATTCTATTCCTCTTTGACTAATTTGCCATATATCTGAGGGACAAGGATTGTCTGCCCTCCCACTTCTGGTACCCTCCCGTGCCCTCCTGTTTGTGTGATCATGGTTAAGCTACATCAACATTTTATATTACTATTTATTTTTATCTTATTATCTCCATAATATATATATATATATATAATGTTGACGTGGCTTAACCGTGACTACACAAAACAGGAGGGCACCGGAAGTGGGAGGGCAGACAATCCTTGTCCATATTCGAGAAGCCACGTCTCTGTTAATCTAATCAATCAGTCACTCTTTGGCTTTTGCGTTTGTATCAAGCTTATTCTTTAACCACGACCCTACGAGAGAGTTTATTGATATGGAAAAAAAAGTTACACTAGGATTAGTTTGGGATTGTTGCGCTTTAAAAAAAAAAATTGTTTTAGCTGTGTATTAAGAATAATCAGTTGTAAAATAAAGTAACTAAGCATTTGATAAACCGTTTTTGTAAAAATGTTGTGAGTATGAAAAGCAGTGTGAAAGCGTTCAATAAATTTTAATGTAAGAGTGATTAATTGTATATAATAACAAAAATGGACATGGTAGTGAGGGTGGTGGCGATGACAACTTGGCGAGGATAGTGGTGGTGATGGTGGTGATGGTGGCAGCGACGACCGTAGTGATGGAATCGACAAAGGTAGGGGTATGCCAGTGGTGCCACTAAAGGATGTGGTGATTGAGATGCAGAGGTAACAATGGTGGTGAGATGGCGGCATCGATGACACCAACAGTAGTGGCGATTGTGGTGGCAGTGGTGGCGACTGTGGTTATGGTGGTGATAGTGGTGGTGGTGATGGTGGTGCCAATGACAGCGGTGGTTGTGGCAACGATAGTAGTGGCAATGGCAGTGGTGAAGGTTGTGATGGCATCAACGATGGTGGTGGTAGTGGTGGTGATTGTAACAATGGTGGTGGTTGTAACAATGTGGTGTAACGTTAGTGTTTGTAGTGGTAGGTAGTGACAGTTGCTTTGTTCTCCAAGAGATAAAATGAATATAGAAGGGTAAACAATGTCATTTTCAAAAACTAATAAGGGTATTACAAGAATTGAAAATTTAATTAAAGGCTCAACTCTGCTTGTTAGTTTTTAACAAAGCAGCTTTTAAAAGCAAACTACATGCTGCTTTTAAAGTTGTTGTCTAGAGACCATTTTCTTTTAAAATAAGTAGAATATTTTATTTTTACCAAACATTTTTTTTATTGCTTAACTTAACGGGACATTAATCAAGAAAAAATATTCCAAACTCCTCTAAATTAAAATCTAAATGGTAAGAACATTTTATTTCATTGATTATATCATGTTATTGTGTTTTAGCATCACATGATAATCTGCAAATTTTGATATTCTTCTTTAGTAATCTACACATATCAAAATTATAGTATTACAGTGTTATCCGTTCTTACAAGAGGAGCACATATAATTGGCCAACGTATATGCTTAAGAAGAGTAAACATTAATTAATGTGCAATTTCTTCTCATATTGACCAAACCTGAATTTTGGAATAGTTGCTAAAACGGTATAATTTGGAGGTAATTTGAGTTGGTTAGCCACCACCTGTAATGGAAGGCTGAACTTTCAAGTTTAATTGCTTCCCAAGATATGCCAAAGTTTTAGTTTGCCTGCCTTTAAGATATCACAATATCATCAGATCATCACTATACCACACTCAACAAATTTGCCAAACCAAGAAAAAGAAAATGAAGAAAACCAGCAGATCAAATTAAAAGTTTAATTTCAAATCTTGGTGCCATGCAAATTGTCCTAAAATTTAAGTCTAATAAATTGAATCGCATTTTCAGATTTATTCTAAACATAGAAGGAGAAAACATAACAATATATAGCACTCGCAATAAAACAGAAAAAAGGGTAGAAAATGGATTGTATAACAAATATAATGCTCTCTTTTTAATTTACAAACGATAGCGTTAGTGAGTTAAATTGTTAGTTGTTAGGGGGAAGGGAGATAGTGGGGACTGAACCCACATAAATCCGCACAAAGTAGACTGAAAATAGAATTAAACTACAAAAACCAAACCAAAACTCGACTTTGTTTTGATGATCATATCGGTGCATGAGAGAGACTAGTAGGGCATGAGATGGGGTTTGCCAAGTATGTTGGTGTTTTCTCTCCAGCCATTATGACAAGAATTTTGGGTTCATAATCTCCAGCCTCTGTGTCCACTGGTCTAGTTGGTTTCTGATCTTGATCACTACTTCTGCTTCTTGAACTGGTGGAGGCTCTGTGAAAGGAGCAAGCAAGAATCAGCAACGCTACAGCGACGAACCCCAACATGGGTGCTAGGCCTCCGAAGAGGTATGGAGTCGGAGAATTCCTGTTTCTGAATATGGCGTCGTGGCCAGTAGCTGCAGTGGTGGGGTTTCCAGCTGAAGGCCTCATTGCTGGTTCTATGGTTTTTTCAATGCAAATGTCCACATGAATGAACTTGTTTTGTTTTTATAAGCTTACATAAGCTTTATATACAGTTCCACATATTGAGCTGATGAGAAGAGAGGAAACTTTATGATCTAAGCTATAAATTTACAAATATGCCCTTTTTTAACAAGAACAAATTTACAAATGTGACCATTGTTGTACATGAATAGTAGTGATTTTTTTTTCTTTTCTTTTTATTGACTTTGCTTGGCCACCTGGTCATGGATTGGTCTAGAAGTTATTTGTTTTTCGCATTGCAACTCTTTCTCTCTATATATATTTCGGGAATGAGTAATGTTTGATAGCCTAATTTTTTTAGTAATTTGCGAATCATAATGTTAGATAGCTTAATTTTTCTAGTAATTTACAAATCATTATATGTGTCACTAATAAAAATAAACATGTTAATTAACATTTAAATAATAAATCAATCATCAACAACTACGTATGATTTATAAAATATGATTTAAATTGATGGTTTCTCTAGTATTACTCGTTGAAAATTATTTGAATCCAATATTTGTTTCCTACACTTGACACAAAAGCTAAGGAAAATGATCTTGACGGAGCTAGTTGTTGTGGACGGCAGAACTGGAAAATGAATGTTAGCTGCCTTTTCCACTTGCATTTCTCTACTTATCTTCTCCATTCAGATTTTAACATGTGAACTCCACTAGCACATCAAATTTAATAATTAATGTTTTGAAAAAACCAAACTTATCATTCCACCTATACCCTTGGGCATATTTTATTGTGTCACCGTGTGTTAGGTTATAGAATTACGACATTATATATAGTTTTATTTGGAAGGTTTACATGAAGCACGTAATTTCCAATCTAGGTTATAATTAAAAGGAAAACTAATGAAAATGGTTTAAAAAACTTTAAGTTTTAACAATAAGGATAAAATAAATAATAAAGTGAATAATATCCAAATTGACTTTTTAGTGTAAAAATGTGATTTTTCGTTAAAGTGAATAGTACATGAAGTTTTTTGTCAAAATTTCCATAATTAAATTGGTTATTAATTAAGTTAGAAGAATTAATATCCAAGTAGACTTAATTTCATTAATTAGTTCGGATGGAAAGCTAAATCTGGAAAGGAAGAAAGAAGGATGAGAAGAAGGAGAGAAATCGGCATTTTGATCCGGGTCCAAAAAGCTTAAGTTGTTTTCGGAATGACTCTAATTCAATTTGATTTTTATTATGTCCGTTTTGCCCCTATAATAAAAGTAAAAGTATGTTTAAATTATTTGAATTTTAGAATTTGAATATTACATGCCTTAAGCTACTTACTTTCTAATAAAATAACATTTTAAAAATTTGTATTCAATAAATATGATAAGCTTAACCAAAATTAAACAAAAACATTGTGTGAACTTGTGATGTAGGTAGACAATATAATTAATTAGTTATAAAGGAAAATCGTGTACAATTAATATGTGTTATACGTAGTTTGCAATGAACTGGACTCTTTAATTTCCGGGTTTTGGTGGGGGCAAGGTGGTGGAGAGAGGAAACTCCATTGGGTATCCAAATACATTTTGGGTCTATCGAAGAATGATGGAGGTATGGGCTTTCGGAATTTTAGTGATGTTAATGATGCTTTACTAGCCAAATTCCTTATGGGCTTCAGTCCTGAAAGCCCGATACTTTCCGCATTGCTCTTTCTTTGAGACTCATCGAGGGAGTAGGGCCTCTTGGGCTTAAACCAGTTTGTTGGTGGGTAGAGATTTGTTGATGAAGAGGTCCCATTAGCAAATTATGGATAGGCGTAATGTTCGATTTTGGGTGGATAAATGGCTTCCCTCCCTGCCGTTGGGTCATTCTTCGCCTAGTGGGGTGGTGTTCGTTACTAAAGACAGTCTGGTGGCTTCCTTTCTAAATCCTTCTTCACGTGAGTGGGATATAAATGCTTTTCGATCATTCTTATTAGTGGAGGATATGGATGCTATTTTGGAGATGCATATTGGAGATCCTAGGCGGAATGATCAACTTGTCTGGCCATCTACCAAGACTAGTATGTATTCGGTTAAGTCCGGCTACCATTGGGCACAGTCACGACATTGCTCCCCGAGGGGCCAACATCCATCCTCATCCAATTCTTCTATGGACCATGTTTGTAAGGTTGTTTGGAAATTAAAAACCCCACCAAAGCTTCATAACTTTATGTGGCGTACATTACATGGCGCTCTGGCAACGATGGAGAATTTATTCAAAAGGAAATGTTCCGCTTCCCCGATGTGTCCAATATGCAACTGCCATGAGGAGTTTATTGAGGACCTCCTATTATAATGCCTATGGGTGGAGACTATCTGGTATGGTGGGGTGCTCAATTATAAGGTGGACAAACATGAGATTACTTCTTGAGCGGCTTGGCTTCATTCCATTGCGTCGCGGCAGTTTGGGTCTAAGGAGGATCAAGGGTTTGTGCTTTCTCATGTGGCATTTACTTGTTGGTATATTTGGAAAGAGAGGTGCAACTTTCTGTTCAACCAACAAGCACCCAATCCTACCCAGGTTCTCCTTTCTATCTCAAATTATTCTGCTATTTTCATTGAAGCTACTCGGTTCCTCCTCCATTGATGAATGTATCACGCACGGTTGTTCATGTGGCACATTCGTCTCCCCGTTTTTCTCCCTATCTGAAAGTGAATGTAGATGCTAGTTGGCAGAAGTCGACAAGGAATGGTTATGTTGGGGTTATGATACATGATGTGGAGGGTCAGTTTGTGGCTATGGCTTGGTATGCAATCCAGGCTCTTAATGTTGTATCGGCGGAGGCCATGGCTATTTTGCGGGGATGTGAGCTGGCTATTGCTTTGGGCCATCAGTGGGTGTTCGTGGAATCCGATTCTAGGGAGTCGATTTCTACCTCATCAAGTTCGTTGGACAATGGCAGATGGGAAGTCTTTCCTACATTGGCGATTGTTCTAAGGTTATGAGAGTCTTTCCAGGTTATCGCTGGTCTTGGGTGCCAAGATCAGCCAATTTAGCAGCGGACAGGTTGGCGTCATGCAGTAATAGTAATACGGAGATGTGCAATGTCATATTGGTCAATAAAACTCCATCTTCATTGGTTTTTTTTTTTTTTTTTTTTTTAAATAATGATGGATTACCTTGTCCACCTTAGACTTTTATAGTAGAGGAGGGAGCGATGCTCGAACTCGGTTCTAGCATCTTCACTCCTTACCCCCTTCGTTGCATGGTTTGTTGTTGGTTAGTTGTTGCTTGCCTCGATGTAGACTTCATGTACTATTGTGGCATCTTTGCCCTAATAATGTTATTCCCAATTTTCAAAATAAATAAATAAATAAATGAACCACAACCTATGATATAGATAGATAAACAATTAACTTGAAATAAATTGTTTAAAAACATGTAATATAGGGGGATAATGTACAATTAATCTGTAATAAAGATAAAATAAAATAAAAAATTATAGAGGTAGATTAATACAAAATATTATGAGAAACTTGTCATAATGAAATATTTTGAGAAAACTTGAGATAACGCAAAATCAAGTTTTCTCAAAACATTTTTGTCAGATGTATACTTATCATATTTTCTTCGGTAATTTTATCTCATTACTTAACTAGTGTGTTTTACTAAAACATTGGATTACAAGTGAATGCCACGAAATCTAAAATTGGGCCTTCCCCAAATCGGGGATTTCCTTCCCCATTAAACCCATGATTCCATCTTCCTGGTTTTTTCACTTCTTCTCTTGCTGACAAAAATGGGACACTGATTGCCTCTCTGGTTTTTTCACTTCTTTTTCGGGAGGAAGAACAAACAACATTTCGACCTAAATTAATTAGCGAGTAATATTAGGTAGATCAATTTTTTAATTCATATATGCAAATTATGTGATGTGTGATCGATATAAAATAAACAAATTAATCAATACTTAAATAATAATTCAATTATCAACAACTATGGTTTACAAAATATTATTTAGACAAATGGTATCCCTAGCGAATGGTATCCAAAAGCAAGCATACCACTCCAAGAAAGAGAGTGAGAGTTCTAATGGTGTGTTTACGAACTCAGAATCAAAGTCAAAATGCATAATTCAATTTCGATTACGAGGTAACCGTCGTTTACTAAATTTAGGGAATAAAGTGAAAGGTTGGACCCACAAAATAAGGAATTCTTCCTCATGGAATCCGGAATCTATTTTCTTACCCAGTATGCCCTCAAATATTTATTATAATCTCACCGGCCACCATTGTCCACTGCCTGGCAAAGGACCTTTGTTGCTGGATTATTTTTCTTGAATTTCTTGTTTCTTTAATAAACATATGAATTAAAAAAAGAGAATTGCTATTGGTATTATAAAAATTTCATTTTGCACTCCAAATTTTTTATAATTAGAAAAATAACTACACTTGTGAGAAGTATAAAATAAGATTTTTAGAGTGCTAATAACAATTTTTTCCCTTAAAAAATAATTAATTTTCTTAGGATAAATTACTAATTAATGTTTCATTATGTTCCAAAAAAATGATCAGTAATGATACAATTAATTTGAATGTTTGTTATCCAATTAATTGATATATAAATATGTTATTTAGAATAAGGGCATTTTAGTAATCATATTCATTTGTATTCTGATTCAGGTGAATTAGGAAACAAGTTTCATTTTTACTCTAATTCCATAACATTTAAGTAAACTGTTTCAATAGGAATCCAATTCTGATTTCTCCTCAATTCCTCCTATTTTAATTATGCTTACATAAACGAGCCATAAAGGATGTCGACTTTAAGGTTGAGAGAAGAGTGTTCAACCACAAATTGTGTGAGTGAGATTTAGAGTGACAGAGAGTGTGTTATACTTCATGTATTTATCAAGCTTTGTCTTTAGCTTCGTAATATTGTTCTTGTTATACCCATTACTTTGATATAATGAAGATTGATCAATGTCCCGTGATGTAGGCACAAATTGCAAACTACGTAAATTCTTAGTGTATGTCTCTTTACTTTGTGTTTTTCTATATTTAGTACCGTGAATCCTAACATTTTATTGATGAGAAAAGAGAGCAAAACCTTCAGGGCTATCCAAATCAATCATCCAACACTATCTAGCTTTCATAATAAAAGTAGGCAACGTGGTATTTTGCATATTCATTCGTTCCCTAAATTTCTTTCCTTTAGTGCATGTCTTTTTCTGCTGCAAAGTGCAAAATGAAAAGTGCACTGAACTTTTCTCGCCCAACATGCAATTTGCTGTGCACTTTATGCCTTTTTTTCAACCTTATGACTTTTCTCGTCGCGATCAAATATCCAACTTAAATAAAAAACTCACGAGTAAATATAAACTTGGAGTGTTTTAGGCTTTTAGCATAGTCAAACTATGTAAAGGACTTTACGTATTGTCCATGTGCAATCGCTAATACGTCAGTTTTATTATTTCTAACACAATGTAACATGTTACTGATGCATTTTCTAAAAAGGTGCACAATGCATGCATCTCGAAATTCGTTTTAGTTGCTATGAGTGTGTGGAGGTGATGATGAAGTTAGAATCTGCCTAAAGGAGTGAAGAGAAATCAGAGACTGTAGATGCTCAACCCATTACATCAAAGATTGTGGTATTTTGTGAGTTTGATTGGACAAAATTCGGAGCAACCAACACGCATCCAGCTTTATCTTCAATAGCTCCATATGTATCAATCCACTTTCAGCTGCTGAACTTTAATTAATTGGTTTCACTTTCACTTATCATTGAGCCAATGTGTCTCTTTGTCTTCAATTTCACTTCCACATATCCTTGAGCCTCTAATAGCTGTTAATATAACTTCAAAAATATCAATAGAGTAGTCTAATTGAGGTACGGGGTGGTGGGCATTTTTGCAGTATAAGTTGGGTGCAGTACAAATATTCCTCTAGCAAAGTTCTTGAGTGTAAAGAAGTGAGTCAAGTAGGTTGGCACTACTGAAATGGATATCCCGTGTGGAATGAGCAAGACTTTAAAAGAATCAAGCTCCAAAACAAAAGCAAAGAAAGCTAGTTGTGCTTGAAGAAAACAAGAAACTACCGCAGAGTTTTAAATTCATGTATAGTTACTTCCGAACTGAAGTTGTAATTTCTAAGAACGTTAAATTTCAAGTTAAAAATATGTAAATGCAGTTGCAACACAGAATTTGCAAGGAGATTGAGGACAATATACAGAATTACCAATCACACATCTCAATAATTTAGATCAATTAAACTGGAAAAAGATACACTATATATCAGTAGCAGATTTTTAATAATTAATAAGACTAAAAACCAGAACAAGTGTTAAGAGAGAGGGTCATCTTTCATCTTCTGATGTCGTAATTAGAATGATGGAACAATGCCATATCCATTTTCCGCCATCAGCGATGTGGACAAACATCTGGTCGACTTCAACTTCCATTTCAGTTCGCTTTGCAAACCGGCCCTTGATTCGGGGTCTGGTCTCGGCGTAGGCCTTCCTTGAGGCATACCGGATTGTTTTCTCAAACTTCCTCGACTTTTTCTTCTCTCTGTACCGTAGGACCCTGGCCTCCCTGTCCATTGGACTTAGTTGGGTTGGCATTTGAATGGTAGGACCACTGAAAAGGTCAATAGTTCCTTTGGGAGTTCTCGGGTGCGAAATTGAGATATCGCTCATTGTTGAATCCGGTACAACTCCAACATCCATGGATGAAACAGAAACCTATTACATGACCAAAGGAAAACAGCAGCATACTTAACTGCTAGTTCAAGTGACTTTCAGAATGAAGATATGGAAAATAATTATAGTGAAACGTACCTCTTTATAGCCAAACTTTTTTTATGGGGGGATCATTCGTTATATTTAGATCCACAATGACATCATGTGCAATGAGCTAATTGAGTTTATCACAACAAAATGAGAGCATAAATCCTCTTAAGTAACATTTATATCTATGGATAAACTTGAAAAGGCAAATTTCTAAGCAAAACATGACAACATAGTGCAGCATTTTTGGACCCTGATACCATTTTCTGACTTGGAGTGAAAAGGGGGAAAGCAAAAAAAGGGACTGAAAACATTCTTGCTGTTCGATTCCGCCCTTTGAAGAACAAAAGCAAAGAAAAAATGGACAAAAGAGGGACAAAAGAGCTTGCAAAAGTGCTCACAAAATGTACAGTTCTTCTGGTAAGTAGCACTGACTGTTTATTTTACATTTGCCTGATATGAAAAATGAATGGTTGATATTGAAAATAGAAGATATAATACTTGTGGAAATCAAATCTAACCGTTAAAACTCATGACACTCAATGTTACATGGCAAGTTACACATTGTGAATTGTATTTATCTGAAATTTAATAATTGTAGAAAGAAAAGTTTATGTCGATAGAATTACATATGGCAATCTATCAAGCACGTGTTACATTAAACAGAAAAAAGTGTGATAGTGGAGTCGAGCACATAAATTAGACTTGATTAGATGATTAGGAGGAGCCCAATTAGGGTTTGCAAGATAAACCACCAGATATGTTAATTAAAACCTGTATTTCAAATTACCAGGATTTTGACTTCTGATAACCAAAATTTACCAAATTATTAACATTAAATGGAGTAGTTAGTTAATTAACAGTAACCATGATTAGACAGAAGAGTAAAGGTAAGAAGCTTACACTGTGACTTAGCGAACCATTGTAACTGTATGCAGCTTTTGAGGACTCATACTCCAAACCCAACTGATGAAAACTTTGCTTCTGCAGCTGCTGCATCTGGTGAGCTTTCCCTACTTCTCCATGCTGATGAACTGGCACAACACTATCTCCTCCATAGTTCTTGTATTGGACCCCATATTGTTGTTGCTCCTGCTGGTCATGCTGCTGATGATGGTCAGTGAACTGATTATTCTGATCAGCACATGAGTTGTACTCCACAAGATCCAAATACTCATCAACTTCCACTCCAAAGAAAAACCCATTATTCTGAGCGTTTGTGTTGTTGTTGTTGTTGCTGCTGTTTTTCACCGGGTTGAGCAACAACCAAGATGCTGCCTCATCCTCATCTTCCTCATCAATGGTATCATCTCCTTCCTGGCTCAGGAACCCATCTTCTGTCTCCGCCCCAGCAGACACAACCACTCCCATCCCACCTTGTTCGGTTGCCTGAGAGCTGTACAAGCAACCGGAGATGGGCAGGATGGGGACGCGCTGGTGACGCCTCGCTAGAGGATTGGCGGAATGGATGTCCGCGTCGCAGGCAGTGCAGAGCGACGCTGCATCCGCTTTGCACAGGAGAGCGGCCGGAGCACGCTCGCAGGCCTCACATACCCACACGCGCTCATGGCGCGACGCCAAGCGATTGGCAGCATGAATGGTGGCGTCGCAGCCCGAGCAGAGGTACGCGGAGTCTGCACGACAGTACACCGTGCATGCTGCTGCCCGGCACGTATCACAAACACGAGCCCAGTTATTGGCGGTAGCAGTGCCATTGCTTTGATCTTCCTTCAACATTTCTCTCGTGATTTCTCAGACTAAAATTTTGAGTAATAATTGAGCTGTGACTTGTGAGTGTGGAGGAAGAAGTTAGTTTGGGGGGGTCTAACTGTAGGCAGAGCGCCAAAGAGCAAGTGGGGCGGGAAGGAATCCAGGAAGCGACACGTGGAAAATATTTGTGGCCTAGAAAGACCCAGATCCTCTCTGGATTATTTGGATGAGGATCTTAATAATCCGTGAATCGTGTTCACTAATCGTACATGTTTTTATTAAGTACTGTTTATATTTATTTTTAAATAAAATTATTTAAAATAATTTTTAAACCTACCATATACGATGACAAATAAGATTTACAGATCTCTGAAATCCTCGTAAAGTTACGGATTCGCCTAGAAAAGTTGTTACGTTATCTTGTGGTTGGCTATGCTTTGTGGGGTGTGGGTCCCCCTGTCGAGTCAGAGGTTCTTGTAGGGCCCATGGCTTGCCACTAGAGTCTAGAGCTTTGGCGCTGGCCCACCCTGAGCATCTAAGATTCGGGGAGTACATGTGGCCATGCAATAGAAGATGTGGTGGAGATGGCTCGGTTGGTTTATCCGCTGTCGGATCGAACAGTAGTTCAATCTGACTACCAAGACGAAGGAAAAACCCGTGTTTTTCTGCTTGCTTGGATAATGTAACAAAGAAATGACACCACATACGGTTGGGATTCATTAGACCACAACGAGGCAAAATGGATAAAAGGAAAAACTTGTATTCTTGTAGCAAACAGTTCAACTACATTGTGATCATTTGGATATGCTGTGAACACGAAAACATTTTTGTTGATACAGAGAACCACTTACGTAAAATATGGATGTTAAGATGGTAGTGTCTGAAATATGTTCGACGCAAAATAAGTTTGAAATACTATCTGTACTGACGTCTCTAATTTATTTAAGTCTCTCTGATCGATATGGTCCATATCGATAACAAATACTCTCGTATAGTATTAATGTGTCATAAATAAATAACATATCATCCATATCGATAACAAATACTCTCGTATAGTATTAATGTGTCATAAATAAATAACATATCAATGTAGTTTTTATAATTTAAATATTGATGTGTTACATGAGTAAAGTCATATGAGAAGCATAATGTTACTTAAGGAAAAAAAAAAAAAAAAAACCTCAACGGTTTGAGGAATTAATAGTAGTTTGATATATGGTTGGTAAAGTAAGAATGATGTAGACATGCATCTATATAATGCGAATTTGCTTGGTTGGTCTGTAGTTGTCAAGCCTGCCATATACAACCATATCACAGATCACATACCAAGATCAATCACGGGGTAGAGATGAATCCCCGAAAAAGCTATACCAAAGCCCTAAAACAAACTTTAAAGCAAATTTTGTGTAGTTGTCACATTGCGAAAGAAAAAGTTCACTACAATTTGCCGGCCACAAGGAATGAATATGGTAAGTTTTCCATTACGATTTGGCATTTGACAAGCTTCAAATTGCATGATTTCTCCTTTTAACATTGACTACTTTATAGGATTAATTAATTCCTAAGTTATGTTAAAAAGAAGGATTTTCTTTGATATAAAACCCACTAATGTTTTAAGTTCATGAACTTGAATATTATCATTTGGATATATGTTTTTTTATCAACTGAATGGGATAATTTGAACTTAGGTCAAACATAAATGTTGATTGATTAAACCCTAATTTCAACTTTTTTTTTATAACCTCAACGGTATGTGGGCAATTTAATAATATAGAAAAAAGTTACACCTACATAGTGGGAACATAAACATTATCCCCTCCTGAAACAAGAAAAATAAAATATATGAAAAGAGGAGGGACTTACACCTTACCCCTAACTTCACCTTAATACTAAGTGACTACATGATATTATAACAGAAAATTATATTCTAATTCATGAAAAAGATTACTTTTTGAATAAAACATTGTCTAAGATGAAAAACTAACTATAGTCTTTGGCTTCAAAAAAAAAAAAAAAAAAAAAACTATAGTCTTTGGCATATTTAATTGTAAATTAGGTTGTAATATTTTTGTGTTTTTTTGCGTGTAGGTTATATATTACCATTTACTTTTCATTTACGCGAATGTTCCGAAACTTATGTACCGATACATTCATACTAATACTTATGTATATATTTGTACCAAAACTTATGTTTACATTCGTTCCTAAACTTACATACCAATACTTTTGTACCTATGACTTTTTTTAAATATAAATTCTTTTTATTTTGTTGTTGCCTTTTTTTTAAATATAAGAATTTGAATTTTGAATAAATTTCAGATGGTAAGTAATTTATAAAAAAGAAATGTGTTATAATTACTTAAATATAAGGTAAGTTCTTAAAATAAGAAATTAAATTAAATTTATTAAAGCCCTAAAATCTAAAAGGCCCTAGTTCATAACTAATGAAAAGGTAGTGCTTGATCACTTTGTATTGGTGAAATATATTAAACACTTGAAACCACATATGATTAAAGTACTCCACTTTGCCAAAAAAGGAAACACAGTCCAGCATATCAAATATGTTGCTAAATTGAGAGCATGCATGGGACTTGCTACAGGCACAAATATACAGAGTGTGGGTTTACAGTCTGTGTATTACTTGACAAGTAATCAAGAAGTGTCTGAAGAGATGAGAGTCTTTGGAACGATTTATCTACAACTTACTATAAGTGCGTTATTGATTTGTGATACTACAATTAATCATTGAGTCGTGGAGATATTAAGTATCGAGAGGGAGAGAGAGAGTCGGCAGTTCTGGATCGAAAACGTGTAATACTGAGTTGGATGCTGAGTTGTATAACTTCATCAGCAGCACTCTCGCTCCTCCGCTAGAATTCAGTGGTGACGTGGAACCAATTGAGAACTTCAGTACCATACATCTATAACAGCGCAGATGCTGATTCAGACCAGGGAATTTTCCTGCAGTCAATAGGATACTGCCACTTGAGAGACTAGGTTAGGATGCACCGCTACCACAAGTTGTATGTATATATATGTTTCTATCACTTTCAGCTGGACATGTATATTGATTTGCCCGGCCGGTTCTTTTTTCTAACCATTCCATGAGTATTGTTTCAGTAGCGTCTGCATTCAAATTGCTCATCTACACCTTCTTGTCTTGATCATCGACATGTTATCAAAGCTCAAAATCAATACTTTTGTTTCCAAACTTTTCTTAATATATAACAGGGTAATGCTTGGTAGATCAAAATTTTAAATCAAATTTGTAAACTAAATGATGTGTCACCAATAGGAAATAAACACGTTAAGTAATATTTAAATAATAATCTAATCATTAACAACTACATCATTTTGTTTACAAAATTTGATTTAAAATTTGATCGACTTAGCATTACACTTGGGAAAATGCAGAACCCAACACAAGATCAAGATAAATTTCTAAACCAGCTAAAACTGCAAACTTGTTATTTTTGTATCTATTCTTGTTTTTACAAGGCGACAATCTAAACTATTATACTTTGTGTGAGCAGAACTCCGAACTCACACGCAACAAGTTGGACACACTCTTAACTCACATGTGCTTGTTTCCAATCGACTTAATTAATGGTCCTTAAATTAGAATGGATATCGTGAAGCCCAGCGGCCCTTTTTGTAAGGTTAGGGCCAAGGGCCTTTGAAAAATCAGAAAAATGTCTAGATAATCATCATTTGACCTTCAGTACTGACCATGGGCCTTGATAAATAACATATAGTTTCTTATTTCAGTAAGAAAAACTTCATTTCTGGCATATTAGGTAAGTTTTGTTTCCATGAGTTAAAAAGGGATTTTAATGAAAAGCTTCCAGTATTATTTCTTTTAATGAAAAATCATATTTTTACACTAAAAAGTTAATTTTACTATTATTCACTTTACCACTTATTTTGTCCTTATCGTTAAAACTCAAAGTTTTCAAGCCATTTTTATTAGTTTTCCTGGGTTATAAAAAGAAGCAGTAAACAAAAAATGAAGCATGTTTCAGTACATAATGAGGTGTATTCAATTGAAATTTTGAGGGATTTTAATTCTTTTTATAAATTCAGGAGTATTTAATAAGGATTTTAAGTGATTCTCTAAAAGTCTAGGTGTATTCAATAAGAATTTTAAAGGAGTTTATAACATTCCAAATGTATTCAATTAGAAATTGATTTTTAAATTTTTTGAAATGTCAAGGAATTTGAGGGGATTAGAGAAATTTCATAGTGTATTTTAAGTATTCTCAAAATTCATATCTCCTCGTGAGAATTTGAGAGAATTCACTCAAAATTTTGCATAGGATCTCTAGAGATCAATTGAACTCCATCAAAACCTATTAAAATCCCTCAAAATCTCAATCGAATATTGAGTGTCCCTTAAGAGAAAAGAGCCTAGCGTTCATTGAAGATTTGTCAAAGGTTCCAGTGGTGTATATTTTCCTAACTAATTGCATATATGATGTGAAATTGACACTGATAGTTGTATAATCTCAATTGTTATGCGTTATGTTACGTGTCAACTATAATTTGTTGAAACATAGAATGCAAGACACTTTAAGGGTTGAGTCTAATGAACTCCTATCCCGCTAAAAAAACAAGACAAGAAAAACAATATTGAGTCTTGATGAACATCTTTGTGTGTTATACTTGAGTCCCTTTTTTTAGAAGAAAATGAGGTTGCCAACAAGTAGCCAATTTAGAACTGCTCTCGTCTTTCTTTGTTTGACATGCAACTCCATCTTTGGACACTCTTCCTTCTCTGCATATAAATTTTTGACATCTCAGCCTACATATTTGTCTCCCCTCCTTGATAACTTTCATTTTTTGCAAAATTTTCTTGTTTTTGTTTGTAAACTGATCAAATTTATGTCTCTTTGCCTGTATATTTCCATCTATTTTTCGCTCTCACATCAAATAAATCAAAAGAAAAATTAAGAGACAAGAATAAACAAAGTAAAAAAGCTAAAAAATAAAATAAATAAAAAAAACTTAACAAAAAACTTATGATCATGTTTACTTTAACGAAAAATCATATTTTTACACTAAAAAATCAATCATAGTACTATTATTTACTTTTATTATCTTATTGTTAAAACTCAAATTTTCTAACTCATTTTCAGTTACTTTCCTAAAAAAAAATTTAGGGCGTAAAGGATTTCTTAGTGACCTACGATTCAGTTGTTACAGTAAAAATGGACTGCAAAGTCAACTATTGGACAGCGTGGGGTAAAACGGCTTCTTTAGGAGAAAAGAATCGATGCCAGTGCAGTGCAGCGATCAGAATCGTCAGTTTCGTAGGAGTTCGAATTTACATAAGAGTCGATCATTTCGTAACCCAAACTGCTCTCAAAGTCTCTAACTTTTTGGCCGCCACAGCCGATCACTCTGTTTCTCCGGTAATCTTCTTCCTCCTTTCTCTATGTATATTTGTTTGTATGTTTGTTTGAACAAACAAGAAATACCTGTGTGTTGGGTTTTTTGTATTGAATACCAAGATTGATATGGAAGTTTGAGAATTTTTTTACTGTTGGGTTTTTCCTTGGTATGCTTTTGGATATGATCATCTTCGTTTGCTTAGTTGGTAAGTTAAAGTTTGGTAATTTGGCTAAAATTATCAGAAATCAAGTTTCAATTGCTGAAGTGATCAACGACATAACAATGAATTGCTCAAATATCGATGACATACTGAAAATCGTCCCTTAAAGTTTCTATCTTTTTTATCTGGTCAGAATTGATGACAAAGAAATGGATTTTGTTTTTCTTCCCATTTTTAGGACGATATGTTTGAGAAATGAGACCCTTAAAGTTTCTATCTTTTTGTCGCTCAAATATTTTTAGGACGATATGTTTAATTTTCAAAATTTCCTTAATTTTCTTTTAAATTTTCAAAATTTCGGTATCTGGGTTTTGCCTATAATTGCATTAACTCTGGAAATTTTACAAATTTATTGTTTCTATATGAGCTAGGTTTATGTACATTTTACAAAATGTATTTGATTGTTTTTCAGTAAAAAGCTGTCTGCTTTGTGGTGTCATTGGACACACTTCCTTTTTTGCTTGGGATGTTTTCAAGCACTATATTGTGTGCAGTTGTGTTTATACACTTTACATTGCTTATTCATCATGGCTGCAGATCACAATACCTTGGTGAGAATCTTCAGTTTTAATTGCATAACGGATAGTTTCAATTTTCGGGATTTTCATGAAATGATGTCACAGATTGGATTCGGATAAATGCCAACTTCCAACTGCACTTATGGTCTGAGAGAGCTGCTTGTGAAAGTATTGAAGAGGAATACGAAAAGAATTGATCAGTCTTCTGGTGATGAGATTAGTGAGATGGCAAGTGTTACGAAAGAAGATAGAATTAGCAGTCTGCCTTGGGATGTATTGGACGGGATCCTTGTTCGCTTGCCTTTGAAAGAAGTTGTGAGGACTAGTATCTTATCCAGCAGGTGGAGGCGTAAATGGACTGGCATTTCACAGTTTGTTATTGATGACAAATGCATACCAAGCCGGATATCAGACAAAGTCGCAAGATGGGAATCGATCATGGAAATTCTTCGTCAAGTTCAATTGCATCACACCGGTCCTATAGAAAAGTTTAAGCTTGCTGCTTATTGCCGGCCTGACCATTCTGATTTAGACCAGTGGATTCATTTTTTAGCTGACAAAGGTCTCAAGGAGTTCATCCTACAGGAGTTTGACACTATAAAACGTTTTAACTTGCCCTTTTGTCTATTCTCGTGTCCACTTTTAAATCGCTTGGAGCTTTTCGGTTGTAGAATCAAGCCATCTTCTGAAGCCATCGGATTCAAGAGCCTCGCGAACCTCCATCTCAATGAAGTTTGTGTAACTGGTGGCACGCTAGAATGGTTGGTTATAAATTCTCCGGTTCTTGAAAGATTGACACTGTTGAACATTGATCATCAAATTGTTCTTAGAATTGGTAACACAAATCTCAAGTATCTTAAAGTAGATTCCAACTTTGACGATATTTATCTTGAAAACAGTCCATCTCTTGCTTGTGTTGACATTGGCTTGAGGGCGAGGGTCGTACCGCGACTTTTTGGGTCCGAAGGAGGGAAGCTAATCAGGGTTATAGGCTGTCTACATGCTATCAAGAAACTGAGCCTATCCAGTGCCATCCTGGTGGTAATTTTTCTCTTTTTTTTTTAGCAGTTTCGTATTGGCCTCTATTGGTATTTGGTTGGCTTAACAAAAAAATTTCTGATATGATTGCTGCTTGCATTTGTTTTTACTTTCTAGTTTCTGGGCAATAATGGTGTACCGGACAAACTTCCTGCTCTGCTTCCACATCTGTCAGTTCTCGAACTCAAGGATGTACAGTTGGATTCTTTGACAGAAGTGTTGGTTTGCGTCTGCATTTTTCGAAGTGCTCCTAATTTAGAGGAACTGCACCTTTCAGTAAGTTTAGTTCCTCTGAACAACTAGCATTTTAGTTCAAGCATTTTTCATCTGCTCTAGGACTTTGAATTACAAGATGACTTTGGTTTTCGCTTTGTTTCCGTTTTTGGACTTACAGGTTGCTAGTACAACTGTGTATTACAGACCTGCTGCTGACTTCCTCATCACTAAGTTGTCAAACCACTACTTCGAACAACTTAAAGTAGCGAATATAAGAGCGGTACAAAATGTTCAAACTGAGACAATACTCATCCAGCTTTTACTCGCTCATTCGCCCGTGCTGAAAAGAATGACCATTGTACATTATGGAGGCAGAATTTTTCCAACAGAAGTGCTGGAGCAATCTGTGCCAGCTTCAAAAGATGTCGAATTTTTCAACTTATGCGTATAAATCTCATCTCCTCGAGGCATTTCTGTGTTTTTTTTTTTTTTGTAGCTTTTTGTACAGATGTAGATCAGGGTTAGAATTTGAAGCTTGAACTTTTTTTTTTTTTTTTTTTTAGAAAACCTCAACGGTACGAGGGGCATATAACAACCTCTTTAAGCTTTTGTTTATTGAATAATAAATTTCTTGCACAAGATTTTCTTCATACCGAAAAAGAATGAGAACAATCAAAGAGCGGGTACCGGCTGAAACGGTCTCCCGAACCTGGTCAGATTACATTGTTTTTGCAACTTCAGGCATCAAGATTTCGAAGACCTATGAAGCTAAGAATGTCAATTTATTGAAGAAGAATCTGTACAATCAAAATTTTCGGAACTCTGGCAAACTGCTAATATACAACATAAACGTTTAATCTTAACGTAACCTAATAGCTTCAGCTGTAACTTCTTGCTATGAAATGCTTTCTTTTGAAGCAGAAAAATTTCTAGTCGGAAATCACCGTGGACCAGAGAGTTCCATTGCTTGTACCAGTAGCGAAGAGTCGTCAGTGAGATCGGAGTATCGGTCTGAGGATGAGAACTCGGGGGCTTTGGACTTTGTTGATTCTACTTTCTGAGAGGCTTCCCATCTTTCCACAAGTCCATCACCTTCAAGCATCCTTACCACTTCTGACATTTTCGGTCTGTGGCCGGGAAGATACTGTGTGCACAAGAGTGCCACTTGAACCATTTCCTCAAGCTCAATCCTGTCGTAGTTGGTTGTCAGATCCTTGTCCACAAGCATCTCAAGCGTCTTTTCCTGATGAATCTTTTTAACCTGTGATCAAATAAACATCAGATAAATCAAACAAAATCCCGGGACTGGACTTATTAAATTGGACAACAGTCCAACATATTGCGTCTTCCAAGTCCGATGTAGAGCAGTACAACTCTATAGTACTCGCATGGAATCAAATAATTTCCAGTCCCAGCCACCAAATGGGCGTTATGGAATAGTAAGAACTAGATGGGAGTTGTGTACTCACCCAATCAAGTATAGCTCCTTTCTGGTTAGCTGCCTTGCCAAATTCCAGTGCTCTCTGGCCTGTAATTAGTTCAAGTAGAAGGATTCCAAATCCGAAAACATCAGTTTTCTCAGAGGACTGGCCGGTGGAGAGGTACTCAGGGGCTATATGACCCACAGTACCCCTAACAGCTGTGGTGACATGTGAGTCTTGGTGATCCAGAAGCTTTGCCAACCCGAAATCTCCCACAACAGCTTCACAGTAGTCATCAAGAAGTATATTTGCAGCCTTCACATCCCTATGGATTATTTTCGGATCACATTGCTCGTGAAGGTATAACAATCCTCTTCCGGCTCCTAAGGCAATCCGCTTCCTAGTGCCCCAATCCAAGACCGGTTTCCCTGTTAAAAGATTGATTCAAATTCAGACACACTAGATAGGAATTCTAAATGGACAATTACAGTTTGAGATTTTGATATTTTTACCTTTGAGACGGGAAGCAACGCTGCCATTGGACATGTATGGATAAACTAGAAGTCTTTCAGTTTGTGTGATGCAAAAGCCGTATAGCCTGAGAAGGTTGCGGTGAACTGCTAGGCTGATCATTTCAACTTCAGTCTGGAATTGAATCTCTCCACCAAGTGCACTGCCATCTTTAAGCCGCTTAACTGCTACGAAAGTGCCATCTTGGAGAGTTCCTTTGTACACATGTCCAAAGCCGCCTTTTCCTAGTATGTTCTTGCTGCTGAAATTGTGCGTTGCAATCTGAAGTTCTCTGAAGTGGAATCTTTTCAGGTTACCAAGGGAAATTTCCTCATGATGCCCGTCTGAGATTTCAAAATATACGGCATTAAGTAGACGGTTGGTTATCTAATTACGTTTTCAGAACCCAAATTTTTTCATTCAGAAAGTACCTTTAACATCGAAGAATGCCTGTTGGTTGCGCCTTTGCCGCCACCATATAACTGCTCCAAATCCAAGAACAATCAGGCAGAGGCATCCGAGGCTTAGACCAAATGCGAGCGCTACTTTGTGACTTTTAGATCTCCCGGGAAGAGCAGCTTGAGAAGACAAAATGAAATTGAAGTTAGGATCAAAGCATCACACGATCAGTTGAATTTGTGAACTTTGTGGAAGTTGGAACTAGTTTATGCAAGAAATCTCAGCAGAATGAATTGATGCAAACTCCATACCTTGTGTAGTAGTGAAGTTCATCAACATTGGCATCAGTGTCGTCCCATTGCACTCAGCTTCAGATCCCGTTGCGCAGATCAGGGGATTTCCAACTATGCTGAAACAACAAAAAAGAGCGGGGGCGGAGAGGATTTAGTAATCAATTCTATGTTGTATGAGAGAGAGAGAGAGAGGGATGGAGATTACTTGAATGTTTTAGCAGCAAATCTAGGTACAGGGCCACTCAGGTTATTGTAGGACAAGTCTCTGGCTTGCACAAGATCATAGAATAACCAAAATTTTACTTCAGAAACACAATTTAGAAAGATTCACACACGCACACGCACACACATAAGAGTAAGATAAAAAGGAGGGAGAGATTTACAGAAAGGAAAGCTGGCTCATGTTAGCTAACGAAACCGGAAATGCTCCACTGAGACTGTTATTGTTGAGCCTCCTAAACCCGGTTGAAATAATCTACATTAGCCTCAAAAACAAGCAGAAAATATACTTCAATTCATGTAAATGGATGACAAAATGCTTACAAGTATTGGAGGCTTCTAAGGTGGCCTAAAGAGGAGGGAATTGCCCCAGTGAAGAAGTTATTGGAAATATCAAGTGTACGAAGCTTTGAGAGCCTCTCAATCTCCCGAGGAATCGGTCCGGTTATATTGTTGTTCTGTAATAACCTGTAAAAGAAGTAGAAAACTAGAAATTCAAAAAACAAAACACCATAACTCATTCGATTCAATGAGAACAAAAAAGCATTGAAATCTGCCTTTTTTGGGTACTCACACAATCTGAAGATTTGTTAAGTTGCCTATGCTTGGAGAAAGAGTGCCTGATAAACTTTGGCTTGGAGTCCCCCTGCAAAAACACCATTTCAAATTTCAATTACTTATCACATTCATTAAACTTATAATTTTCTACTAATTAATCTTGTAGCTCTCAGAAAGTTAAAATTTTCGTAAAAAAAAAATAAAAAGAACTCACAGGCCAATAACTAGGCTTTCAGGAGAGCAAGTGACCATGGTCCAACTACATGGATCAACAGAATCATCATCCCAATTATCCAAAACTCCATGAGGATCCACCAGAGAATTCCTCATGCCCATTAAAGCTTGCACTGAGATGAAACAAAAAAAAAAAAAAAACAGATGACGATTCCGCAAGTTACTTTCAAAGTTTAGAGCTTCTGAGGAAAGCAATCCATTTTTTTGCAGAAAATTTTTGAACTTACCTTCAAAGTTTACTCCTTTAGGAGAAAGCAACCCATTCCCACATATCCAAGACCACAGAAATGCCATAAAACAGAGAGCAGCTTTTGCTCCTCTCACTCCCATTCCAATCCCAATTCCCATTGATTCAAATGTCACAAGCATAAACCAGAAGCTGAAACTGAACCCGGAGGCTGAAAGCTGCTTATGGTGACCGAGAGTGCTTTTGGGATGACGAAATCTCAAGTGGGTTTGGTTTGTTTAAGTAGTTTGATCTTCAAATTGCAACCACTTTTATTGTTGCTCTCTTCTCCCCCTCTCTCTCTCCCTCCATGCGGTTGTACCGGTCACCGAAAATCTGTGTCAGGACTCAGGAGGACCCAAGAAAAAGCCACTCCTTTTGGGGGTATAAAAAGGAAACTAGCATGCCTGTCATTGAGTCCTGAGGCTGTGGGGGAAATTATATATAAATGGCTCTATTCCTAAAGGAAAAGAACAATTTGAAAGGCAAGGAGATAATTGGAAATCCAATTTGTTAATACTTGTTAAGCTAGTGAACTATGCTTTGTACCCGCCAAACAAAAGACGTGCAATAAGTTTGTAGCTTAAGTAGTCATTTAAAGGACCTAATCTTTTGTAAGTTCGCAAGATCTTGAATGTTACGGTTAATTTCACTTACTTTTTATCTATTTTTATAATTATGTGACTATGTTTGTTTCCTCGTAAAAAGAAAAAAAAAACGAGTTAGGAGCTTGTAACTCAAGTGATGAGTAAGAGTATTCAGTTCACTGTAAAAGATAAAATATTTGGTGTAACTATTTAATTATCCTCCTCTCTTTCTATGATGAAAACGATAGATAAAAAATTGGTAGTAGAATAGTAACATGGCATAATATATGCATAGTAAAGATATATCCATTAAGCGAAAATTGTTATCTAACAAAATAGAAATAAAGCAATGAAATTTTGTTTTCAATAATTAAGAACGTTTAATCATGTAGTCTAGAAAATAAAAGATCAAATGCTGAATAATCTTGTACATTTTCCGACTAATGGAACCAAAGTTCTTTCTGATTAGCCAGTAATGAGTCATACATACATATATATATATATATATATATATCATTTACCTAGACAGGGTGTTATTTTCAATTTTTTTTTTTTATATTTTATCCCTGATTATATTTATTGATTTTTTTCTCAAATTTAGGACACAAAATGGTTCAGTGTGTATGTGGAGCTGGGAAATGCCTTGCTTGAGATAAATGAGGAATCCAACATTCCCTGTGCTTGGCCATTCAATAAAGTTACAAAAACATGGTCTTCTTTTTTCAAGAAATTTGAGAATGTGAGAATCTCGAGCAGGACATGAAACTAACGGCGGATTTGGTCACCTACCACGGTGAGCACCATGAGATGATCTTTGCTAGAATTTTTGTTAAATTTTTTTTTATACATCATGCAGAATAATTATATTATATGTTGTTAATATTATATATTTTTACCAAGGAATTTTTTTAATCATAATTCTGGTTGCTTTTGTGCTGGAAATGTTGGAAGTGCTTTTTTAGATTCCACACAGCACTATCTGCTAACAATCTCACACATGCTCGCACTCTTCTCACCTTCAGGCTTCAGCAGACAGTCATTCCCCAAAACTTGTTCAAAAAGAGAAACTTTGAAAAGCAAAAGCTGCCATCCAAAATCGCTTTTCTCCATAATACTTCCCTCTAAATTATTTTAAGACCAAATCATACTATTTCATTCTCATGCTTCAAGCTGCAGGCAATTGTTGCTCTTGTATACAATTAG